GTTTACATTTAGCAGAACCTTTAGCTCAGAGAAAAAAGCTAGAATGGAAGAATTTCAAGTATCAATCTGTGAGTTGAGAAGACATTTGGGGGTAGGGAGGAACATTTGGGGACCAAAGACCTTGATGTCTCACCTTGTACACAAGGGGATTGTGGGCACGGGTCACTGCCATCACCCCAAAACAAGAAGAATGCGTTGTGAGGCTCAGCACACTTCCTGCACATGCACACATGCATTTGCCCCGGACCAGGATTTGCTCTGGACTGCTCCACACAACACTCCCCTCCTGATTTTTTCTCTACTCCACTGTGCTGGAATCTTCTGTTGCCTGTATAGATCCAATCCTCTTTTCTGTCCTGCTCTCTGCCCCTAGGAGGTTGGCCTATCCCTTAGTCCTTTGTCTTCCAGCTGGATTAGGCTGGTAGGGAGTCAGGCAGGAAAGTGGAGGGCTGGAGGTCAGAGAGGCGTGAGTTTCTGTTCCCTAGCTCCCTCCCTGTGCCTGGCGAGGACTGAAGGTGACAGCTCTGGTGTGGCTACTCCACACAGTGAGCCTGGGCTTGTGCTTGCAAGTGCACACTCTTGAGTGCTCTCTCTTTCTCTCAGGATTTCAGTACCCACACCTTCCCCTTGTTCCTTCAGGCCCAATTTCAGCCCCAGATACTACAGTTTACCTTATGGTTTCCCTACCTCCAGCCCACACCTTTGTAAACCAACCTTTTATCAAATTCTCTTCAAATGACCCAATTTGAGTGACCCTAACTGATATCTCCAAGGGCTGGTTAGGTCCAAGTAACTGTCTCCCACTGATCCTGCTCTTCAGTTGCCACCAGAAGCTCTCTGCTGTGTTGCTCTCCTGAGCAGCACACACAACCTCCTCAGGTGGACACACCCAGAGCCACCCAGGAGAGGGCGACTGTGAGCAAATCCCAGGTGGCCACTCCCAGCACTGGCCAGCCCCAGGGTCTGGTTCCCACATGGGAAGAAGATGATTTTAAGCCTGAGAACGTGCTCTTGAGGTCCTTTTAAAGACTGCAGACCCTGCTCTGAGCCACTAGAATTTTTTGTAATCTCTTGAGCCTAGAAACCATATTAAAATGTTAAATTCGCCATTGGGAATTGTTAAGAGGAACGAGAAGCCCAAAATGGAGTCATTTGTCCCCAACCACAGCAAACCAAGACCTCATTGCACTTTGAACCTCTCCCAGGAATGTGACCTTTTAACAGTCAAGCTGAAATTTCCTGATCCGCTCTGATAAGGTAATCCACATGGGAAGAACCCTGCCATCCCTTCCCCCTCAAAAAGAAGATATAACCATCCTTTCCTTTGCTAATAATGTCCTTGCCCTATCCTCCTTCCTATAAAAACCCTCCATTTTGTACAACTCCTAGGAGCATCCCTCTACTTGCTAGGTGCTGCCCAATTCAGAAATCACTTCACAAAGCCAGTTAGATCTTCAAATTCACTCGGTAGAATTTTGTTTTTTAACAGACTCCTTCACGTTAGCTCATGTGACCTCCACGCTGTGTCTTCGGGCTCCCCAACATTCAGCCCCTTCGTGCTCATGGGCCGTGACACCATGACTCTCACTTCTGCTTTGCCTCCAATAACAAATGGCAAAGCCATTTCTCACAGTAAGATGTTTCTTTTCGATGATAGTCTGTTTATCCTCTAGTCAGTGGAGAATCTGCCTGTTTTCTTGTCTTTTTTTTTTTTTTGGTACCTTTTGACCCCCTTCACCCATTCCTGCCCACCCCCACTCTGCCTCTGGCAATCACCAATCTGTTCTCTGTATCTATGAGCTTTTTTTTAGTTTTGTTTTGAAAGTGTCTTTTTTAAACGGTTGAATCTTGATCTGGGGCAGGAAGTATATAGGAAGCCCTTATTGTACAAGAAAACACAGTAGCCTCCAGAGGCCACTGGGGCCATGGCCACAGGATGCGCTAGCTAATGTGAAGGACTCCCAGTGGTGAAGGGGGAATATTTTCAGCATCAAATAATGTTAGGAATGGATTAAAACTAACACACGGGTCACTTTTCTCCCACTGCCTAGGCCCTTCAAACTCCTCCCTAACAAGGGGCTTCCTAAAACAGCCTGTATTGTAGTGTGATTTAGAGAATCTGAAAGCATTTCTTACTCTTGTGGTGCCTGCTGCTTCCTCCCCAAACAGCCACTCCTGGAGACCCTCTGTTGGCACTCTTTCCCTACAATGGTCCAGCTCAGCAGAGATGTGTTGAGACAAACACTGGGGAGGGCCAGTGCCTGCTTAAGGACTAGACCTGTGGGCCTGGTTGGCTACCCAGAGAAATTCCACTTGCTTAAAATGATGAAATTGGTCCATTGTCCCTCCCTGCCTACAGTTAAGTAGAGCAAGATGGGATGGAAACTTCTCCAACCTGTGTGCGAAGATCATTGCGAGTGTTGAGCTAAGCGGGTGCCTTCCCTGGAAGCTCAGCTCTAACCAAACAGGCACATCCAATAAGGCATCTGAACAACCCCCCTTTCAAACCAGTTCCTCCTAAGGCAGGAGGATGAGCCCCTTTGTTTTCCAGTGTGTTGACAAAAGGGCAGGCCTGGAAGGGAGGGGAGACCGGGTCTTCTAGATTTGCCTCGAGTCTTTCATAGCTGTGTGATCTTGGACAAACCCCTGCTTCTCTCTAAGCCTCTGATTTTTGTTTTTTAAATAAGACAGCGGTGAATGAAAAAAAGATGTGGAGAGGTCTGCATATGAAAATTATAAGAGGGGCACCTGGGTGGCTCAGTCATTAAGCGTCTGCCTTCGGCTCAGGTCATGATCCCAAGGTCCTGGGATCGAGCCCCGCATCGGGCTCCCTGCCCCGTGGGAAGCCTGCTTCTCCCTCTCCCACTCCCCCTGCTTGTGTTCCCTCTCTCACTGTGTCTCTCTCTGTCAAATAAATAAATAAAATCTTCAAAGTACCCTCCAACCACTATTAAAAAAAAAAATTATAAGATTTTGACATAGAATGTTAGTATATCTTAGCTCAATTTGTAAAAACCTCAACTGAAGAAAATATATATGTAGGATCATTTGAAAGACACATTCCATTTATTCTTCCAGATCATTTTAGGTTTTTTTAAATCTTTAGCCAGGACAGACTTTTAAGAAAACGGAGTTTAAAATTATAAGAATTATGGAATAATTTTGAAATTTCTTTTTGACCTTAGTGCCAATGAAAAGCTTTCTTTCCTTAAAAGCTTTTCCTTATGAGCTTTTACCTCATAAATATGAATGAATGAATGAATAAGACGGTGATGAATGTTGTCCTGGATGACCTATTGTGTATGTGGCCAGAGCTAAAGTTTGATGATTGTATGGTTTTCTGGGAGGAAGTTTCTGAAAACTTTAGGATTGCCTTCATTACTGCCTCATTCAAGAGCAGCACTGTCCAATAGAAATATGTTATGATCCATATACATATATATTATACACATATTTCTTATAATTCAACCTAAAAAAGTAAAAAGAAACAGGTATCATTAATTTTAGTATTTTACTTATTAAAAATGTTATTTCAACATGTCATCAACATAAATTGAGATATTTTACATTTTTTCATGCCAAGTCTTTGAAATCTATGTATTTTACACTTGTAAATATGAACTAGCCATATTTCTTTTTTTTTTAAAGATTTTATTTATTTCTTTATTTGAGAGAGAATGAGAGATAGAGAGCACGAGAGGGAAGAGAGTCAGAGAGAGAAGCAGACTCCCTGCTGAGCAGGGACCCCGATGCGGGACTCGATCCCGGGACTCCAGGATCATGACCTGAGCCGAAGGCAGTCACCCAACCAACTGAGCCACCCAGGCGCCCCAGAACTAGCCATATTTCAATTGCTTCATAGACACAGGAGGCCAGCATCAACAGTAGGCAGTGGATGCCTAGAGATTAGCTCAGGAACGCCCAAACCCAGCCAGTCTTCCTGTCCTGGAGCCCTTTCTCAAACTCCACAGCCTCCAGCTGGGTTGTTTTCTGAAAAAACCTAATCATGTCACTCCCCAGCTTAAGAGATCTCTGATATCTCCTACCCTCCTAGGACAAAGTCTGAACACCTTGGCACTTTAGAAGACCCTTCACCATTCGACCCCAACTTCTCTTTTAAACTGTTCTCCTGTCTCCTCTCCCCTTGCATGATGTGGCGCAATGACAGAAACTGTTCTCTCACCCAATGGGCTTTTCTGTCCTCCTGGCATTTTTCTGTCCCCACTTGGAGAGCTCCTTGAAGACTCGTTCATTCGTTCGTCCAAGGAGTGCCCTACTAAATGTCAGGCGGCGTGTGGACCCTTGTACCCAACTCAAAGGGCCACAAGGAACCTCGTTGGCCAACTCGTAGCCCCCCACACCCCAACCACCACCGACGTCCAACCCCTGTCAGCTCCACCTCGGCTCTAGCGTTAGCCCTCATCATCCGGCTGGGCGGCTTGTTGACGCGTCCTCCCACACCGTCCCCCAAGCCATGGAACGCCCATTCTTGCTTCTTTTTTCACACCGTGAAGCCTCAAAAAACCGATGAGGGGTGAATAACCAATCACCCCCCACTTTCACATCGGAGGAACTAAAGCACGGTACAAGGAGGGTTGAGGGAACCATCCCGCCCTAAGTCCTCCTGAAGAAACGAGGCCTTTCCCCAAGGGCCGACACCGCTAGGAACCCCACACAGCCCTGACACACCGCCCGGACCCCGCGAGGCGTCAAGCCACGCAAGCGCCCGGCCCCCGCCCGCACCCCGCGGTGGCCAGCGTGGCGGGGAGTGACCCGCGAGCGAAAGAGGCGGGCCCAAGCGGGGCGGCGCCCGCACCCGCGCCCAGGAGACGGTCGGAAGGGCGCCTCCGCCCCGAGTTGCGGAGGAACGCACGTACCGGCAGCCGTGCGGAGGCGGGTGCGGCAGCTGCGCGGCGGCAACTACAAATCCCAGGGGGCCCCGAGGCGCAGAGGCGGAAGGGGTGGGCGGGGCGGGGCGGGGCGAAGCGGGAGGGGCCGGGGCGGCCGGAGAGCCACGCTCCGGCTGCAGGCGCAGCGCGCGGGAGAACATGTCCGGGGGCAGCAGCTGTAGCCAGACCCCAAGCCGGGCCATCCCCGCCACTCGCCGGGTGATCCTCGGCGACGGCGTGCAGCTTCCGCCCGGGGACTACAGCACCACCCCCGGCGGCACGCTCTTCAGCACCACCCCGGGAGGTAGGGGCGGGCTCCGGGTGCGGGCGGTGCGGAGGACTGACTGAGCAGAGCCGGAGGGGTCGGGAGCCGCCTGTTGTACGGGGCGACCGGGCTGCGGGGCGCGGTGACTGGAATAAAGGCATCAGGGAAGCAGCGACGGTCACGGAGGTGGCCCCCGGCAGCCAACAGATGGCCGCTTCCCACTGCCTGTCCTCTGGATGCGTGCTCCCGAGCCCGGGCTGCAAACTGCTCCATTAGTTTTCTCCTCCTGGGAGAGACAGCCGAGTACCCCTACCCAAACAGATACGCACGCTTCCAGAAAGACCACATGCCGAGGTGTGCTGCCCCTTGTGGGTGTGGGGGCGTTCTGAGGCAGAATAGCGTAGGGTCAGTGTGGCCTGGGAGCTAGGAGAGGCCTGGCCTGGGTTTTTTAGGGGATGGGATGGGCGTTCTCTGTTGGGGTAAACGACTCTTGCAGAATCCCTTTTCCTTCCCGACGTACCCCCAGTTTTGCATTGGGCCAGCACCCTCTGACCGAGGATTTGGGCTGAGGGCGCTCGCCTGCTCCAGCAGCGCCTCACCTGCACCTGTGGCAGGTTGCGCATTTACGCGTATGGGATCTCTGCTGAGGGACCTGGGGCCGCGGGCAGGGCTGTGCAGAAAAACACGTTCTTCTGTCCGGGGGGGAGGGGGAACCGTGTGACCTCCCTGAGAGTGTATGAGGAAGAGGAAGCTGAGCTGGCACGGGTGGGGGCCAGCCTTGGGCTGCCCTCGGGAGCCAGGCATTCCCTCCCAGCCCGGGAGCCCCGGCGCACAGGCGCTGATGAAACCTGCCAGCCCGTTTGCATGATGAAATCCTCGTGGCTCACCACTTCCCTACCATCCTCGCGCTGCCCTCACCCCGCTTTGCCCTTCTCCCCTCCCCTCCACCCTCCTCCACCGCCCCAGCCCAAAGCTGCAGATAGTGGCGCTCGGTTGAGAGGCAGGGGTGCAGGTGGTGGCGGGCAGAGCGGCAGCCTCGTCCCTTGCCAGCGTCGGGGGCCACATGCTTATGTTCTCAGGCAGCGGCCCCACCACCCGCAAACACTGCCAGATCCGAGGTCTGAGCCGTTTGATCCAAAACATACAACTGTTAAGGATCATAGATGTACTTGTTTCATCGGGGCTCCAAACTTGAAAACACATGTCCCTTGTCCAACGTCACACGGTTTTCTCAGATTGAACAAGAAATCGTATCCAAGCATGGGGGGATCTCTCTTCTATTAAAAATGATCAAAGGAAAAGTTCTCCGTGAGCCTTCGCCACCCTTGACTCAAATTCTGTTTTCCTGCTGTATAGGTCTTTGTAGTACACTTGGTGGGCTTTCTCTGTGTCATGCTGTGTCTACCAGAATCTTTCCTGACAATTTTGGGGTTCCTTCAAGTAAGGGTGTGAATCTCTACTTGATCATTTTTAGGTTGGGCACCGAGGCAGGTCTGAAGGCTCAGGTTCTGTTTTTTGCACCCTTTGTTGCTGGATGGGGACAGGTCAGATTGGAAGCCATGGCCAGGGTTACTGTTTGTAGGGAACTCTGATCCACTTCTCACCATAGACTGGGAAATGGGTTTTTGGTTTTGTTTTGTTTTGTTTTTTGGTAAACCAGAACAAATTTCCCTGCCTTTGAAGGTCTTTAGTTGGGAGAGAGGGAAAGGGACACCTGGACCAGAGTGTAACTTTATTTCTGAGGCCACCTGGAAGAAAGCTAGCCGTGCCAGGAGCCTAAAGCCAGCTTTCTTGTCTGGAGTGTCCAGCGCGACAGGGACAGCTCACAGTCCATAACCTGGAAAATCACACCTTGCCTCTGCTAACGTCAGCGAGTCTGGTCTGCCTCAGTTAGCCAGGGCTTGGAGTCTTCCTCCAAAGCCCAACCTCACCCTACCTCTTTTTTTTTTTTTTTTTAAGATTTATTTATTTTTATTTTGAGAGAGTGAGAATGAGAGAGAGAGAGAGAGAGAGAGAGCACATGAGAGGGGGGAGGGCCAGAGGGAGAAGCAGGCTCCTCGCCGAGCAGGGAGCCCGATGCGGGACTCGATCCCGGGACTCCAGGATCATGACCTGAGCTGAAGGCAGTTGCTTAATCAACTGAGCCACCCAGGCGCCCCCTCACCCTACCTCTTTGCCAAGGCAAAGAGGCTTAACCTAAGAAAAGGTCATTTCTGGCACCCTTTTGCTCCAGCCTAGAGTGCTGTTTCTCATTCCTCAATGTACGTATGAATTACCTGGGGACCTCACTTAAATGCAGACTGATTCTGTAGGTTCTGGGTTTGGGCCTGAGAGGCTACATTTCTTTCTTTCTTTTTTTTTTTTAAGATTTTATTTATTTATTTGACACAGAGAGAGAGCACAAGCAGGGGGAGCAGCAGGCAGAGGGAGAGGGAGAAGCAGGCTCTCCGCTGAGCAGGGAACCCAATGCGGGACTCGATCCCAGGACCCTGGGATCATGACCCGAGCTGAAGGCAGCCACTTAACCGACTGAGCCACCCAGGCGCCCCGAGAGGCTACGTTTCTAACCAGCTCCTAGTGATTAATCTAAGTACCACACTGAGTACTCAGAAATTAGTGGAATGTGACTTCCCTCACCTTTTCACACCTCTGGGGTCTGGCAAAAAGTGATGCTTCTAATCAGGTAAACTTCTCTTGAGGTTGGATTTGGCATCAGCCTTCAAACCAGGGTCTGGAGAGAGTCTGTGCAGGTGCCTGCACTAGCTTATTTGCAGGTGTCAGGAGCTCCCGCAGTGTCGGCAGGTCACTCTTGCTGGGTATGAAACTGCCGTGTTTGTCCCCAGAGGAACAGGAACAGCAGCTGATTTGAGCCATCTCCATTCCTAAGACGCCAGTTTACTTTCCGTGGTCATTAACCTTTCACAAGCTAAATCACTGGTCTGGTTAGAAGTCTGGAGAACTTTAGAGAAATTTGTTAAAAGGAGTGTTGTGTATGAATATTTGAGCCTGTGGAGGCTTCAAAGTGACCGGTGACACCACACACCAGCAGAACCTTAGAATGGGTCAGAAATTCTGCTTCCACCCCCTCCCATCAACCTTCATGTTCCCTGTCCCATGTTGGATGCTTGACCCCCAACCCTCCAGGGTTGCTTGGCTGGTAATCATACCCAAACCCAGTACCTGGATAAGGTTAATCAGAGGTAGGCAGGTAGGGCTACAGATGTTACTGGCACTTTGGTTTAGATAAACAAAGTCTGAGGCCATGAAGCTTATCTTGGAGCAGCTCCCAAGTCTTTGGCTATGGAACAGACAGTGCTGGGAAGAGGAGGAAGTGGGCTGGGCACAAGCTAGAGCACAGCCCGTGTCGCGAGGCCTCAGTCACACAGGGGAAGATGTCTTCTGATTGCCCAGGGTCTCATTATTAAGGACAGGTTAAAAGAACTTGGACATTAAGGCAGTGAGGGAAATGTAATGGGCTCTCTTCTCACACTGTTCTGAGCTTCCTTTTAAAGCATTTAGAACATTCCACACTGTCCCTCATTAAAGACTTTGATGGGGGGGCCAAATATAGAGCACCCCAAACTCTCTCTGATGCCCGTCAGCCTCCCTGGTTCTAAGGCATTCACCACATCCAGAACCGGAAGACAGTCTGACCTCAAGGGCTTGGCTTGCTACTTAGGAAGATGGAGACACACCTGAAACAGAAGCATCAAAGTTGTAGCCATAGAATGAAACGATTAGGCAGGCACCCCCCATCCTCCGTAACCAGTAGAACTTGTATGATTCTCACGTGAGAGTCACCTGCTCCAAGTCTTCAGCCTGCTAGGCCTTACTTGCTAACAGTGCACACATAGCTGTGAGAATTTTTTTTTTTTAAGATTTTATTTATTTATTTGACAGAGACAGCAAGAGAGAGAACACAAGCAGGGGGGGCAGTGGGAGAGGGAGAAGCAGGCTTCCTGCTGAGCAGGGAGCCTGATGCAGGGCTCGATCCCGGGACCCTGAGATCATGACCTGAGCCAAAGGCAGACACTTAACGACTGAGCCACCCAGGCGCCCCTAGCTGTGAGATTTTAATTGCCTTCCGAGGCTTACCTTTTGTTGTTGTTGTCTTCCAATATCCTCAGAGGTAGGCAGGGCCTGATTTGAAAGAGGAGTTTGATTTTTTAACTTACGTAATTTTTTTCTGAAAGAGCAAAAAAAATCCTTCATTACCAAATTTGGTAAAAGGACAGGCAGGGTGGTACCATGTCTGTCTGTTGGTATAAAGCAGTGAGGCATTTTCTCGTATGGGTCTTTATTTGATATCCTTGCAGAGGAGGAATGATAGGGGACAGCAGTATGGAAAAGAGGATTGCTCCCCAGGGGGAAGTTTTGTTTTCTTTTTTTTTTTTTTTAAGATTTTCTTTATTTGACAGAGAGAAACACAGCGAGAGAGGGAACACAAGCAGGGGGAGTGGGAGAGGGAGAAGCAGGCTTCCCTTGGAGCGGGGAGCCCGATGCGGGGCCAATCCCAGAACCCCGGGATCATGACCTGAGCTGAAGGCAGATGCTTAATGACTGAGCCACCCAGGCGCCCCCCGGGGGAAGGTTTTTAACGAAGAATGTTCATTTGTACACCTAGATTTTACATGTTCAAACAAACAGAAAACTCGTCACTTTCAGGTCTCAGAGCCACGCCCATGCTCTTTCTCCCATTATGATTCATGACAAATGAATCACGTGTATTTGTTTACATGTTTGTTCCCTAGAGTAGAAGGGAAGTTCTTTCCCAGCAGTGTTACTCATCTTCCTATCTTGGCTTTTGAGTGCTGAGTCAGGTGTTTAGAAAGTGAAGAGTTGGGGCGTCTGGGTGGCTCAGTCGGTTAAGCGTCTGCCTTCAGCTCAGGTCAGGATTCCAGGGTCCTGGGATTGAGCCCCACATTGGGCTCCCCGCTCAGCTGGGTGTTTGCTTCTCCCTCTTCCTCTGCTGCCCCACCTGCTTGTGTGCTCTCTCTCTCACGTTCTCTGTGTCAAATAAAATCTTAAAAAAAAAAAAA